AAGAGGATGTTTTTAAATTTTCTGAAGAGGATGTTTTATTTCTATTTTTAAAGCTGCATCATCTTGTATGTTTGATTTTTGTTTGGGTTCTAAGCTGCTTGTCTCCTACGCTGTTGGCAGGAACACCTGCTCTCCTTGGCCAGGTCCCCAAGGACTCAGCTCCTTGAACTGTCAAAACTGTGACAGTCAAGTACCGGGTGTGGAGGAAGTCTTGGGACTTGGAAAGCGCTGTTCATTCTCTTTCAGTTGATTGCAAACATGTGTGGCCTCAGCTTATTTTGTTTCCAGCGGCCGCGTTCTGCGTGATGGCTTTGCCACCGCCTGCAACCAAGTTTTTTGCTTGCAAGCTCTGACTCGCAAAGAATTCAGCGCACCTGGCTCCAATTAGGACCGATGATGAAGGTGGCGATGCCCAGCCACGAGCCGTAGCCAAGGCAAGTTGTTCAGTGGCTCCCATGTCATTTTAGTTCAGCTGTAATTTAAGTAATTTTTGTGGGTTGATGTTTAGAGGAGTTGACCACGTGTTCTCTCCAGGGCGTGACTGCGACCGCTTCGAAGACAAAGAAGAAACCAGTCAAGAAGGTGGGAGCCTGACATGTCACACCCTGTCACACCCATTGCAAGTTCACTTTATCCCCATATGTTCAAACTATTTTGCGCAGGCCACACTGAAGCGACGAAGTCTATCGAAGGCAAGAACATTGACTTGTTGTCGTACGACAAACCATATATATTTCTGGTCTTTGCAGCCTGCCAGGACTTGACCTGGAAGAGCAAAACAGCTTACAAGCCGAGAAGCTTTGCGAAGGCATTGGAATGTTGTGGGCAATTCATCAGACTCAAGCCGTGTGGGAAGTTTAATGGTATCTGGAACCACTGTTTGTACATTTGTTTTTGAAGTTTCTGCCCGGGCCGGGAGTGCCTTGCAGCTACCACCTTGCGGGTGGATGTGGAACAAGAGCTTGAACGCTGTCCATGTGCCATTGGTGCGTGTGGATCCCCTGAAACTGAAGGTGGTGCAAACCTCAGGTCTACAGCATATCGCAACGTTGAGGTTGGTACAGTCCACAATAAGGTGCGCCATTGCAAAGCGGGCGTCAAGAAGAATGGGGCGACGAAGTTCACTGGGTCGAAAGTGTTCCGAGCATGGGGAACAATTCGTTGAAGCCTCAATGAGTGTTGTGGATTCAGACATAAAGCAATACCCAGCGACTTGAATCAAAGTCTTCTTTCCAATGGAGTGTCATGGTGTTTACAAGATGTTAGTGTCATGGCCTGGCCTGCCAGGTGTTTTCTCAGCAAGTGTGACATCAACGACTGATGTCAGCGCCCGCGCCATTAGTGCCATTTCCTCAGCTTTCACGTAACTGCGCGCCGCTTGTCAAAGGTGGAATTCGCGCTTAGGACTTGGCAAATCAGATCCGTCATAGCACCTTGTACCAAGATGCGTGTGCAAAGGACGGAGTAGCTCCTGGACGTTTTGCCGAGTATTTGAGTGGGTTGCCTCACGGGTGGACATCCCCACGCGCTGGAGATGTTTCCAAGCTCGATGTGGATGTGCAGTTTCCTCACCGCAAGGCTGGACCATTGGTTCGCTCATCGGTGTTCGATAGCAATGTCTTGGCCACGTGACCTTTGTGTTTCATGTGGGGGATGCCGGGGCCATGCAGGATATCCCCAAGATGAAATGCCTGTCTCTTTTTTCCGGCGTGGCCGGCCTTGAACTGGGCATGCGGCAGTGGAGCTGGCATGCTTCAATGTTGCATTGGACCACCAGTGATTTCTTGCTTTCAACATCTAGTTGTTCTGTTTGCGCAGCTTGACGTGAGCACCTTTGCCATTTTCTGTTAGCTGCCTGTCGCTCAATGTTAGTTCATACACCGCATCTCATTTCACAACCACAGAAGCTGGCAATGGAACCTTTGGAACGGCTGCAGACCGTCCGTACTGTAGGCGTGAACCAGGTCAAGCTTTCTAGCTGCATCCAGTGATCGCGCGCAGGTTTCACAATGCGAGGCCTCACGCATTCCCATGTTTGGTTTTTGAATGTTTGAATGGGGACAGCGATTCTTTTTTTGGTTCTTAATTGAACAAAAAGTGAGTGTGGATGGCTACTGAGGGTGACATTGGGTTCAACAGTGGTATGCCGGTGGCGAGATGCTTTGTTCTGTCCTTACTTGCGAATCCCTGTGTTCTTTTTTTTTGACGCCTTTTTGGAATGGCTTTGAGGTGGTCCTGGGAAGGCAATCGCTGGGTGCAGGTTGATGTGGAGCACTTTGAAGGCGCAAACAAAGCAGGTGAAGGTGTGAGATGCAGCAGTCGTGGACGTGCTGTAGCAGAAGCGTTTTGGCGCAAATCATCAAAAAACCGCCGCGTTTGAAAGCTTCACTTGCGTACCTGCAAGGCTTTCCTTTTTCAGAGTCTCGCTGAGGAACGAACTGCTGAAACCTTGATCTTGGAGCCAGCTGCAAAGGGATCCAATCCGTGAGAAAAGCAACCAACTCTAATTACATAATATGCAGCCGATTTAGACTTGACTCTTTGTTTCGTTGTGGCACGGGAACCGGGTTGCTTCAACTGTGCCAGATACTTCCGACCAGTACGGTTTGTCCACGCCCCAGCTTCGAAGACTTTTGTTTTGGCCTGTTGACATGTTTTGACTTCAAGGTAGAGTTTGATAAACATTGTCAAGCTGTTCTTCGAGCACGGATGGACGACGGTTGCCTTCCAGCCTGTCCGATCGCCAGCGATGTCAAAGCCTTCACACCAAGCGGAGAGGACAAGGAGGCAGAGGCCCTGCTAGCAGGGTGGCCTTGCCAGGCATGGTTTGAGAAAGTCTTTGGATAGATAGTTTGCCCTTTTGCCTTTTGAGTGTAGCCTGATGTGGGTATTGTGGGTTGTGCAGGGCATCTCCACTGCTGGATATCAGCAGGGGATGCGAGATTGTAGATCCAGACTCGTATTCAATCAGGCGCCTGCTGGTCTTAGAGAACGTCAAGGCATTGCTGTCCTGCAAGCCTGAGACCCGCGGGGTGTTCAATTATGTGGTGAAGGAAAGTATCTTGACCGCTTGAGTCCCTAACATTGATCATCGTGAGGCAGTGACAAGAATTCTTCAAATTAGTTCCTGCTCAGCTCTATCCAGGAGACACAAGCTCGAGGACTACGCTTGCATTGGGTGACCCTGACGTTGAGCAATGTGGGTTTGCCCGTCGCGGGCTTTGCTCTTGAAGTTGCAATTGCTGCGGGTTTGCATTACAATTCAATGCATTTTATGTGTCATTGTAAAGGCTGGACGTGCGAGAATTTTCCTCTTTGCAGCCAAGCCGGGCTTCTCTTCCACAACCTTCCAGGTTACCTGCAAATGGAACCTCTCTTCATTGTGGTTTCATTTTTGCGCATGGCAGGACTTGCCGGCCTTGGACCATTGGGCCACACGTCCGTGGAACACAGTGAGCGAAGTTCCAATGAAAGATTGGCTGGTTGATGAATGTGATGAGGAGGCCAAGGCCAGGCTGAAAGCTTGCGGCAACATAGTAAATCCTCCGCAAGCAGCTCTGGGGTCTTTGAATTTCAGCTGATTGCGCTTGCGTGTGCGCGCGTTGGTTGAAGTTGTGACTTATGGGTTGCTTGTCATTTTTTGGTGAGGTGTTTGTTCGTGCCTTTGATTAAAGCTCGTCCGAGCGCAATGCAATAATTACTGCGTACGCCAAATTAGGGCAAGGCCTTGCAACTGGCTTGTGCACATCCTGCTGTGGGAGATAAACATCCCCCCACTTGAAACTTGCAGCAGTGCCAGAATGTCGGATGTAGCCATCGACAGCATGAAGCATGTCCGTACTCTATAACTGTGGGCATTTTCCCTCCAAGTTTGGTGTTGACTTTATTGGCTCGGTAGTGTTTCTGACCGACGGCATGGCTGATGGGCCTTTGGCTAACTTTGACCTTAAGATTTTGCGTTGGAATCCTCGCTGTCAGTCTGTTGACACATTGATGCCAAGCCGTGAACAGTTCAGCCGTGTTTTCTTACCGTTGCTGGGGCTACCAGACTCCGTGGTCATGTGCTTCAAAGCTGTGCAGCGCGCTTGGATTCATCAGACTGGCGTTGGGGCCTGCCTGTTCTTGACTGGAGATGACGGTCCGCAAGCTGAGAGACTTTACGCGACCTTTGTCTAAAGACTTGTAGGTTAGTGAAGTCATTGGTGCGTTGTTTTTGTTTGGTGGGCAGTGCTTTTGCTCTACAATGTACAAGTTCTCAGGATCTCCTTCCTTGACTCCATGTTGTGCTTGCCAGAGGAATCCGCTCTTCATGTGTTCAGGTACCCAAGCCCGAAGCTCTTGCCAGGTAGCGCTGATGACGTAACAATGTGTGGCTTTGAATTCGACGTCCAGGCAAAGTTGGTCATGTTGATACAGGATGCAAGCATTCGCAAGACCGAGTTGTCCAAGATGAGCGTTGTGGAGTTCAGGACCGTCGACTTGTTTTGAAATCATTCAAGAAATACTTGCTTGATGTACTGTGTGGGCCGCTTCAATCTGATGGGAGGATTCCTGGTCGGGATGAGCCCGGGCGTGGCATTGCCTTCCGTGTTTGTCCTGAGAAGTATGGGATTGTGGAATCATTTGCCATGCTTCTAGGTGGCATTCTTCAAAAAAGTGTTGAAACTGCAAACCACACGGGTTGCAAAGCCTTGAGCAAAGGTCGAAAGATGTTCTTCACTTCGAGCGAGAGATGCCACTGTCGCAATAGGTACCGGGCCAAGATAGTCTTATTTACTTTAAAACAGAACTTTGTGTCGTGACTCGCACAGATCACCCGTGCCTGGCGTTCAGATCATACGGCTCAATTGTCCAGGTTTGTGTGTACCCTTCAAGCAAAAACGTTACACATTCACAGCGAGAACATTTGTTTCTGTTTAGGTCATTTCTTGCAGCTAGCAGCACAGAAGTTGTTGACTGTCAACTGCCTCAAACATGTACTAGTAGTATCTAGTCGTTAGATGCCGCTTCCTCCCGTGGATGAGCTCTCTGCGTCTGCGTCAGATGCAGAATCTCAAGCAGAGCGTGATCTGGGTGCTCATGACCTTATGGGTCGACGCCGCCGCGTCCGCCGGCGAATCCTGAAGAAGAAGAGGGTCCCTTGTTGGCGGCAGAAAGGGGACGCCTTGACGAAAACGTTGTCAATCTTGGTGCAGAAGAAGTGCGGCGGCCGCTGCCGTTTGTGTTGCCTCTCTCAGTTCAAAGATGGGGACAATTTTGAGAAGCTTGTTCAGTTCAGGGAGAATTGGAGCGAGCTGCACAAATTAGACCAGGACAGATTGGTGGATTGCCTTCAATATCTGTTTAAACATTTTGCAGCGTTCTTTGGTTTTTGTGTGTTGGAAGACTGTCGTTCTATGCCACGATGTTGATCGCGGCCAGTACCTCACCCCCTTGTTCCACGATTTTCAGAAATCTAGCTGATGTATTCGACCGGATAAAGGACCTCTTCCTTGTTGCGGAGCAAACCGGTGAGTCGTTGCTAGCTTGGACTTTTGAACGTAAGGCTGTTTGCTTCAAAGCTTGGAAGCGCCTGCACGGAATCGGTGTCTGGTCTTGTCTCGGATCTTTTTGCAGGGTGATGATAATTTTTTGAATCCATTTCTTTGTATCCTGAAAATTTCATGGATGAAGCGAGGTTCTGCGCGTTGCAAGCGGCTTTATGATGCCGCGAAGGCAAAGGCCAATGGGCCACCAGTCGACCTGAGGTACTTACAGGTGCCTCATGCAAGAGTGACAGGAGATTCGGCTAGTTCAAAGATAGTGTCGTACCTTCACAGTCTGTACGAGTCAGTAGCTGAGACGTTGCCAGATGCTCGCGACGACCCGGCGATCTTTTCTGCAGATCTGGTCAGCCCTGGTGAGATCGACGAGTATGCTGTGGACTTAGTTCAAGATGAACGTGCCGCTGTAGATCGGAAACGGAAGCGTTTCAAGTCTTTGACAGTCAATACTGAAAGGTTGAAGCAATTTGAGTTGCGATATCTACCACCGGGGTGCATGCGCGACCACTACGAGGGCATGAAGGCGGTGGCAGATATGGAATCTGTATCGTTCAGCACGTTCTGGAGGACGTGGCACGAGCAGTTCCCCATTTCTGAAGTTTCGACATGAGTCGAATCATTCTGCCTGTTCAGAATGCACGCGGCGCAAAATGATGATCAGGGGCCTATCGAATCACCTAGCAGCCAGGCGGCGCCAGATCGAAATTTTGGGTACCCACTTGCGGCAACAATATTTGGACCGCTTGACGTACTGGGCCCTACGAGGGCAGTCACGGTTGCGTCCTGCTTTGACAGTCGTTTGTATAATCGACTCTATGGACCAGATGAAGTTCCAGTACCCAAGATCACCGTTGATGTATTCGAAGGAACTGGCGACAATGCAACGCCCAAAATTGCACATCACATGTTGCCTTGGCCATGGGCACGCTTCAATTTCTATGTGAGCTGCCACAACCATCCCAAGGACTCATCGGTGATGTCAGAGATTGTGACACACTTTCTGACTCGACTTGCTTTGTCGGGCATGGTTTTGAGTCAGGTGCATTTGCACATACAGTGCGATAACACTCCGCGGGAGCTCAAAAACAATACTCTATTGAGGTTGTTGGTGGCGTTAACGTCGCATTGCCACTTGACAGTGGACTGTGTAGAGAGGCGGTACGATGGCCCCAATCATTCCAACCGGGTTGTCTTTTTTTGGATCTGGTTCTGTGCGCTTTGACTGGCGTAGTGATTGTAGCGGTGTTACCATGACATGTTTTCAGGGGTAGATCGCTCTTCTTTTAATATGTTGGGGGGCGCGTGTGGTAATTGTTTGTTATTGACAAAAAATCATAGAATGTCAGCTCAGGTCAGTGACAGGAGTGATACTTGTGACCCTTGTGGCGTCTGAGGCATCGTGGCCAGCGCTACGCTTGCGAGCTTGCGCACAGGCCACAGCCACGAGGACGTGGACCAGTGTTTTGGGTCGCTAGGAAAGTTTGTTGTTCGCCATGCGAGAACCGTCGAGACACCGCAGCAGTTTGCTGATGTCGTGCAAAAGTTTTGCCATGGGGCAGCGCGCCCCTATGAGAAGGAAAGGTTGGTCTTCATTTTGGACCAACACCGGGACTGGATCTTTGCCTGTAGCTGTTTAATCAAGTTTTGCTACGGCCATGCAACTCTCTTCGCTGGGTTTGACAAATTGGTTGTAAATGTCCTTTCGGTTGGTGGCTTTTTAACGGACCCCGTCAAGTCTGGGAAAGGGGTACCTTTTTTTCACATTTCGGGTCTCTTTTTTGACACTTCGTGGGGTCCGTTGCAGTGTGTAAAACTGGCATGTCAAGGTGTGGGCGTGGTTGGTTATTGGTTGTGCTTTTCTGGCTGAGGAAAGGCTCTCTTGTTGAAGCAGTCCCGGTGGCTCTACGAGGAATCGGAGGACCTGGAGCTCCTCATTGGTTTGAGTTTCATCGGCGTGAGACCCTGGGTTTCTTGCGCAAACATTAACATCTTGTTTGGTCCGTGGCAAAACCAAGTGAGCAAAAAATGGATGTTGCTACTGCATGTTTGTGTTACATGTCATTGGACCTTTGGTTGACAGCGCCAAGCCCTCAGAATGTCAAGGTCTGGACAACGAGCAAATTGTCGACCAGTATTGGCGACTGAGTGAAGCAAATCTTCATGGAGGTGACGCCATTGTGCGGAGCCTCTGCCCCGTTTCTAGGGTCATAAATAGGGGCGCAACCAACTTGCGTCAACAGTGACGGTAGTCCTGATTGCTGTCAAAGCTGAACAGGAAGCGTTTTAGTTTTTACTTCTTGGTGCAAAGCATTAAACTATCTTGTTGCAGCGTTTGATTTCAACCACGCCCCAAATCCTACATGTTGACGAGCGATCAAACGTTGGTATGAAGCAATTCCTACCCCCACAAAGGGCAATGGAATCATTTTGTCAATTGGTTGGAGCCCTTTTTGTGGACGATCGCTCCACTTCGAGATAGCGTGCTCTAAGGACCAAGCAATACATGGCAGACACCGACTACAATGCCGCCTTCCTTTTCTATCCGCGCTGTGTTGCCCGCGACAGACTGTTGAGGAGGGCTCCTGCAGGCGCGGATATTGGACGGGCTGTTTGCTCATGGCTTGCTATGAGGAGTTCTTCAATATATGGTTCATGGCTTGTGATGGTGCCATTTGGCACGGTCGCATTAACCCGCCAGTCATGTTTAGTTTTGGTAACATCCAACTGTGTCTGACTCACACTGATCAAACCAACATACATATGACACTCATATACACAGTGGAGTTATTGTTCTTGCGCCTTTGAAAGCAAAGCGTCGCAAATAGAAACAAACTGTGCGGAGGTGCCGCGTCGAAGAAGAAACTTGCTGCCGATTATGTGTCTCACCTGGAGAAATACTTACCAACTTTGCGCTCTTACGGCTTGAACGACGCGGCAGATCATTTGGAACAATGGCTGTTGCGTGAAGGATGTTTAGAGCTTGCGCAACCTTTGGACACATCGGCGTGCCCAGGCCTGAATTTAGATTAAAACACCCAACGTAAGCTGGCAGTTCAAGAGGAGTCTGCAGAGCGTTGTGTCATCGTCGGTGAAATGATCTTAAGCAAGTTGACGGTCCGCATGGTAGACTGGATAGTTGGCGCCTACCATTAGTCCATCGGATAAGAATAGTTAGATGGTACAGGGGAGGGCCTGTGCCAATTTTCCACTTCGCTGTTGGCCCCAAACGGTGATCGTTCGGGCCTTATGGCTGTCATTTTTCCAGCTGGTTGGGGCACCGTTTTGGGGGCGAAGGGATCTACATGGTTTGCTCCGTGCTCAACAAAAAGGCCCATACATAGATCCCTTCGCCCCCAAAACGGAGCCCCCAGCAACGTTGCCATTGATGAGAATCCTTACTGGCGGTATTTGCTTTGTCTCTGGTTCACCCTCTTGGAACTTTTGGGATTCAGCTTAGAACTGTTAAATCAGAAAAGCACGATCTTTGAACTTCTTCATAATTTAATCTATAAGGTTTCACGCCGAGATTGCCCTTGGTGCTGAGGTGTGAGTTTGGCCGTGGGCCTGGTTTTGCTGACGACGGACCAGATTTGGCCGCTTTGACGCGGAGCTTTGAGCCAATCCCCAACACCTTCAGGCGCTATGAATATGGGTGATGTTCTAGGATCTGGGCACAAAAACGGTTCCCACCAAAAGCGCTCAGTTTGTTAGCGATCGTTCTATTCTGGTTGCTTGTCGTTGATGGGCGGCCGCCAGTCGACTGAATGGATGTTTCAAGCTGGTGAAAGTATATGGGGTTGTAAAGGAAGCGTTCTTCAACTGTGTGTGTGATAGCCTCTTGGCTTACGATTCGGCTGGTGCCTGTTCTCATCCCAAAAATGTTCACGAAGGTGTCTGGTTCCTCCGACTAATTGAGACGTTTCTGCCAACGTGCGAGGTTGGAGAGAGGCGGCGATGTGAAGCATGGCCGCGAATATTCAGAGCGTGCCAAACGAGCGATTACGTTAGAAGCTGCAGCTACGGCATGGTCGAAGGTCAGACGCACTTCAGATAGCAGAGTCAGCAGTTGCGAAGGCTTCAGCAAAGCCGAAGCCAAAGCCTAAAGCAGCCAGGGCCAAAGCAAAAGCCCGGCCTTAACTTTTAATGTGGCCTTGACACTTCTTTCTCTTTCAAGAGATCAGTTTCGGACACTACACTGCATGTTGAGTGGTGTCGCACTTGGTGTCCGAAGGACCCGCCCATTGGACACTCTAAGGCAAGTTTGTGAGTAATTCTTTTTACTGTTCTCATTCAGCTACTTGATTTTTGGCTGGTGGGTGTGCTTTGGTGTCCAATCCACCCCTCCTTTGGACACTATTGGCAAACACTTCTAAGACCGTTTTTGGTGTCAGATTAGCGCTTCATAAATTCAAAGTTTTCAGTTTTGATAGAAAATACATACGCCAACGCACCCCATCAATCAGTCACTAAAAAGCACAAAATCATGAAAATGACCACCCAAAACCAAAAAAGAAAAACATCGCGAGAGTTTAGTTACTGGGTAATTGAAAGGTTTGAAGAAAAAGAATGGGAAAACCACGACAGCAACACTAGTGTCCAATCAACCCCTTGATTGGACACTTGCAGGGTTTGATTCCAAGGTGCCCCAACGTTTGGTTCAAGACAAAAATGTTGCAAACCAACCAGTTGGCTCAATCTTTTGGAATGTCACCATGCTTAGTGTCGGATCAAGCCTCGATCCGACACTAAGAATCATGTGTTGGATCAACAAACGGTTCGAAGCCATTTAGGAGTCGCTCCTTAAAGCATCAGTCGGATTGTTAGTGTCGGATTTAGGCTCGATCCGACACTAAGGGTTTCAAGTTTTGTTTGCTCTGAAGTTCCAATCAGTTTCTGAAGCGCTCGGGTTATCAGTGTCGGATTTAGGCTCGATCCGACACTAAGGGTTTCAAGTTTTGTGTGCTCTGAGGTCCAATCTAGCTTCATGAACGCTTCCAGCCACCAATGAAAGTTGATTGAACTTTCATTTTGCACAAATCATGGTTCATTCTTAGACGTATTGATATGTAGACGTCCTTTGAAGGAAGGTTTCTGTTGTTTGTTTATCGCAACCCTCTCTCCTTTTTGGAATTGTCAAGTTACAGTAAACGCTGGTGTCCAAAGGCCGCTATGTGTCGTGGTGAAAATCTCCATCGCTGCGATCAGTGTAGCTTTGTGAAACGGTGCCTACTCTTTCAGTTTAGGTTTGCAGCGTTCTTGCAAAAGAGCCAAATGCTGTCTCTCAAAAGAGATGATGGCTGTGTGCTGGCAGGCGTTCTTACCGATAAAATCCTGCTGTGCACTTCTGACGCGTGCAAGCGGCGGTGGATGCGACAAGACTGTTTGTTGTCCTTTACGCGTGCTTTATTTTTGACGAGGCTGAACTGAATTGAGAAGGGGCGTCAGCCAATTGTCAGCACGTCGTGTCAGAAGATTTTGAGGCTGGGGGTTGTTTGTGTACAAAAGAGCGATTCATGGAGTCTGAAGAAACATTTGTGGAGGCCGAGGCCGCACTTCCAACGGAGAGGCGGCGTGGGACAACCAAGGCTACGCAAAAGAAGCTTGCGACGCTGTAGGTTTAAAGCTATATTTTCTAAGTCTAAGTGTCGTGGCTGATTTTAGTTGGTGTGTGTGTGTTGCTTGTCGTTGCAACATCGCCCTTGCCATCGAACAGCTGCTGGTTGCTTGCTCCTTCTTTCTGTTGGTGGACGTCAGAGCTTCCTCTGCAGTTGAGACCTGCTTTGTTGGTCCCAGTTGGCCTGCTGCTTGTTTACGGCGTATGGTTGCCAATGCCCGCTGCTGCGTTCTGCAACCCTTGTGCAACAAGCGCTTTCGTTGATTTTGTTTTGTTACTGTGACACCTGAGCGGTTCTTGTTCCGATTGCATGGCTTTCGGTGAGATTGATTTTGATTTAGCGCTTCTGAGCTTGAAGATATGTTGCACAGTGACCCAAAGCAACTTACCCCAGAGCGCCGGAGTATGTTTGATCAGTGCTTGTGGCAACCTTCAGCTTTTGGGCTTGTGGGTTAGTGCACATTGTGCGCAAGCATGGGTAAGAGGAAGTCAGGCGGAGGAGAGAACGCCAAAGGTGCCAAAGCTGCAAAGCCTGAGCCTGTAAGCGATCCTTGCGTTGAGAAGATCATCGCTTGGTTTCTTGTTTGGACACGTTATGAGTTGTAGAATTCAACTGTCAGTTGTTGGGAGCGCGCCTGTCAAGTACAGGTGTTGTGGGACGCAACAGTTGCGCTTAGGTTTCGGAGTGACGTGGTTCCTTGTGGTGGGATCGACAAGTATTTGGATAAGACCTACTCCGACCAGGCCACTTTTTTAAACCATATTTTTGTCCTTTGTGCGGCGTTCCACTTTTTGCCAGACCAAATTGATGGAGTTCGCGGTGTGGATCGATGACGCCTTCCCTCCGAAGCATATGCTACTTAAATGAAGCAAAGACATTCCGTGTTGACGCCATGGTTGTGGTTGTGCGAAACTTAGGACGCCATATGCAAAGGAGATTGCGACGGGGCCTTGTGTGGTCAGACCTTACAATCTAGGGTATCGGCGTGACTTTGGTCTGAGCGGGTTGGCTGAACCAGAGACGGCGGAGCTTTTGCTGCAGTTGATCCTTACCCATTGGCTCAGTTTGGGGGCTTACAATGCAGAAAAGACAGGGCAATGAGCAGTCAGATATTGCTCGTCTTCTCTAGAGCTTGGCGTTTGCTTGCGGTCAGGTTTCGCAGCGGTTCGGAGCACCTACAGGGAGTTGAGCGGCTTGCTATCATGAAGCCTGAGGCCACCATGCTGGAGCGTGACTATTCGGAGTGTGACCGCCTGCCATCGAGCCATTTTGTTTGCAACTAACAATATGTTGGCGTGTTGGAGTCAAGAATCATATCACTAAATCAGAGTTGAGTAGCAGTTGGTGTATCCTATTTTGCTGCATCCTTTT